AGACAGTCTGAGTGGCTTCAGTCCTGGGGCCCACAGTGAGAGACCAAGTCCAGATGTGAGGCAGCAGGTAAGAAACCGGGGGAGCGGAAATTCCATCCATAACAGAAGAAGCCTGGAGACTCACCACACCACTGGGGCAAAACTGGAGGTGTTCCTTCAGGGCGCCTGTGTTTTCACTGCAGGTGAGAGAGCTTCTAGAGTTTTGGGTCAGTTCAGACACATCTACTCAGCAGCTTTTTAGGAACCTCTATGTGCTGGGCTTTGTGCTAGCATTGAGGAAGCAAAGGCTATTTAAGTGCTTCTATGGTTCAGTTGAAGGGAGGGATAAGGCAGCCCTGACCACCACCTGTGAAAAGATGGAGGGAAGCACAGGTGGGGTGGGCGCCCCAGGGAGGCACTTCTGTGATCTGAGGGTTTGCAGCAGTGGAGGGGTGGGGAGGGGGCAGGCCAGAGGAAAGGTTGCCGAGGTCACACCACCAGACTGGTCTTGAAAGGACAAAGGTGAGAAAGGAGGATTGGGAAAGAAATTTCAGACACAGGAAAGGAGAAGGAATCTGTGTGAGATACTGAGGTTTGAAAACCTATGATGCCTCAAAAATTCTATTTCTGGAGCAATTGATGATGAACTTGGGGACTCTGGGGACACTGAACAGAGACCCCAAGGAGAGTGAGTCACAGAACTAAAAGCAAGGGCATTAAACCGCACAAAGGAAGGTGGCTCTCCATGCAGAACTCCAGCCTCCAGGCTCTTCCACCAAAGGCAGAGGTTCACTCAGACTTCAGCCTACATGTCATTCTCTGGAGGACCTTGCTGAAATGCACTCTGTCACAGTAGGTTTGAGGATGGGCCTGAGATGCTGCATATCTAACAGACTCCCCACGCGATGCTGACTCTGCAGGTCCATAAACCACTCTATGAACATTAAAAGCTTAGAATGCTCTAGTCTCCAGAGTGGACATGGACTGTAGCGAGGGGAGGAAATGTTAGGGCTTATATCTGTGTGAGCATGCTAAATCGCTTTAAGTCATGTCCAACTCTTGCAACCTCATGGACTGTAGCCTGCCAGGCTCCCCTGTCCCTGGTATTTTCCAGGCAAGAATACTGGAGAGAATCTTTATCAAAAATGTAGGAAATTAAATGTTGTGCAGTAATATACAGATCAAATCCGGCACCTTCACTCATTCTGTCTCCTGGACAGTTGGCATGTGTCATATATAAGGTATCCTGCGGAAGGGGTGGACATTCTGTAACTTGGAGGAACTGACAGTGGCACCTTTCTCCTAAGTCAAATTTCAACTTATAGCCACATACTGCAATTATAACATATTATTCAGTGGGTTTCTGGATTATATTACCTAATATTAACAACTTCAATTACATTAGGAATATAAATACAAAGTGAACAATCAAGAGGCAGTGATAATGTTTCGGCTACTCTTGGAATGAGGTCTTGGTAGCTACATAGTGACATCAAAACAATGACTCCAAGGTCTAATTCCAAGTTGGTTAAAAAATAAATCTAAATTATGAATAAGACTATTTGCAGTATTTTTTTACATCTACAAATATTAACAATTAACCCCACTATGACTGTATATTGTTCCTTGGGATATTCATGAAACCTTGGGATATTCATGAAACAGGACTTTTCAAAACAAAGAATTTCCATGGAGAAAGACTGTAATATTTTTCAGCCACACTTAAAGACATGTAATTATCAATCTGGGACAAAATTTTACCAAATTTGATGTTACATTTTTAGAAACCACTCTTGCATCTTCTTACATAATAGCAGAGACAAAAAGTCACACACTGGGGAGTGACTTGATCTTTCTGATATATCCCACCACCAAAAATGAACATGATAAACATATGCTACCCAACACACAGAATACCAACAGTGACTCAAGGAAGGACTCCCCATCTTCTAGGTACCCAGGTCAGTACCACTCAACTAAAAGTGGAGAATAGTACATGGGAGATTCTTTATTCCTATTGGAGGATACTGGTTTTACAGAGTTGTAGTGGTCTGTGTCGTACATCAGGGCCAATCTGTCATAATTTTATATATATATATATACCCTCTTCTTCTCGAGCCTCCTTTCCCCCTTCCACTCCTCCAGGTCAGTGCCAGGCTGGGCTCCCTAGGTTATATAGCAGCTTCCTGCTACACAAGAGATTTTGATGGGCCTGGAAAATGGTTTACATCACTTTTTCTCAGTTTCCATTGACCTGAACTCAAAACTTGACTGTAACTAACTGCAAGAGAGACTGGGAAATATGTCTACCAAAACTTTAAAGAGCTGAGTTTGAAGCCTGTATCTCTGTTGAGTATTTAAAGCTGAGAAGTGAGCCAAAGAAGTATTGGTATCATACTTGATGGTTAAAATGTGTGCATGTTGGCTTTTAAAAAATTATTTCAAAAAAATTTTTTAAAAGCATAAAATAAATGTGCATCCAGTCAAACATTTAGAACGAGCAGCCAATCTGTTTTGAGTATATGATTTTCTTTTACAAAGTTTTGTTTTATTTTGTTTTTGAAGATATACCAATATTTAACCCTATTTGAAAAATATAGCTAAAGAAACAAACAGGGAGAAACGCTTAAGATCAGCCAATATTTTATTCAAAGTACATATAATAACTTTTTACTAGAATTCTTACAAAACTAATATCACATTAATAGATATTAGGGTATATTATGAAGACTAAGCATTAAAATATATGAATCTAGATGGGTTTACTTTCTTTTAAAATTAGTCTATAAACTAGTATATAAAATATCCATTTCTGAATGCTTAATTGATATCTAAAAATATTCTCTAGAATTTAGGGAATTAATCTAATTAATTTTGCTAGGCTGACAACAAAATCACAGAAAACAACTCAAGAAATGCAGACCATATAACAGATGACTGTTCTTATTATCTCTGGAAATAATAATTCCCAGAGAAGATAAAACATTCATCATACTGTTGTAAAATGAATGAAAGCTGCAAATTAAAATTCCAAATCCAGATAACATAACTGTACAAGAGGGGAAAGTGAAATTTACAAGGAACAATTAGAAAAATTATAAATACTTAGGATTTCAAAATTATTTTATAATGTATTTGATTGCTGAGCTATTAAGATTTTTCTCTCATAAAATTATAATAAATTCTAAGCAGTCTGAAAATCCTATCAGCAGGAAGCATGTGTCTTTTTTTAATACAATGTGGCTTTAAAATGAACAATTCCCAATTATTAACCTTAAACCATCTCAACAGACAGAAATAGAGATAAATGCTTTGTTTTTCTAGAGCCTCACACCAGGCATTTTCATCCTCTCCTCCTTGCTTCATAGGAAGCAATTAAATCTTTGCATAGAAGATTTACAAGTCTTTGGAAAAGCAAAATCATTAGAACAAAACAATGTGGCCATTTGAAAAGAGTATCAGGGTAGGTAATAACAATTGAACTTTGAGTTATTAAAGCAATAAATTTTTTAATCAATTTGGGAAGTATGATGAGTATCTGAAATCTTTACTTAGTATTAAATGATTTTTCTCTCCTAAGAATCATTCTCAGACTGACCTCTTAAGGTTTCTTCAAGACTTAACTCAATTATTTTTTTTCTTCAGACTTTCTAAAGAAATAAAGTACTTTTGAAAATGAGTATGGTACACAGTAGTAGCTGTCAGAGGGGGAGGGATATGAGCGGAGGGCAAAATGGGTAAAGGAGGTCAACTGTACAGTGATGGATGAAAGCTAGACTTTTGGTGGTGAGCATGCTTGCTGCAGTGTATTCAGAAGTCAAATATAGTGTGGGACACATGAAACTCATAATGTTATAAACTGAGGTTACCTCAACATAGTCATTATGGTATTTGTTTTATTTTGTATAATTCTTTTTTAACTTTTTGGTTGTGCCTTATGGCATGCAGGGATTTTAGTTCCCAGACCAGGGATTGAACTCACGCCCCCCTGCAGTGGAAGCAAGGAGTCGTAACCTCCAGATCACGGGTGAAAGTGGCTCAGTCGTGTCTGACTCTTTGCAACCCCATCAGCTGTAGCCTGCCAGGCTCCTCCATCCATAGAATTCTCCAGGCAAGAATACTGGAGAGGGTAACATTCCGTTCTCCAGGGGATCTTCTCAACCCAGGGATCAAACCTAGGTCTCCTGCTTTGCAGGCAGACTCTTTACCATCTGAGCCACCAGGGAAGCCCAGAATCTTAATAGAAGTTAGGTATCATATAAGTCTTAGGATATTTATAAAAAAATACTTCTCTTTTTTAATATGATGCAAAGTTTAAGGTTGCTAGAAGCAAGAGCACCATTGTTATTGCTCTAAGTAGAGTTAAAGTTTATACATAATGATGTTTGGCAGATCATAGTTCATGACATCATGGTAGGATGGTCCCCAAAGCAAAGGAATGAAGCAAGGTGCTTCAAAGGCCTGGTTTTAAAGTAAGCATACTTGAGATTGCAAATAGGAGCTGAGAAACCAACGTTGGAATTTGTTTCAAGCCTCCCGGGGAAGCTCTTCAGCTGAATGCTGATTAATGTGCCCCGGAAGTGCTCACACCAGCAGATTTGCTGGATATGGTCCCAGTTGGGAGAGGCAGCACACAATACTATGCACTCATGACCTATCAGAATCAAAGGACAGGCTGATATGGACAACCAAAGACCCAGTTCAGAAGCACACAGCTATGAGCCAAGACCAATTCAAAAATGCCCCAAAATACTTCCAACAGGATAGAAGCATCTATTTCATGGTTCCTTTTAAGAAACAACTAAAAATCCTCAAAATACTGCCTCTATCCTTAGCCTGAGTGAATGGTCTAATCTGTTTTAACCCCCTAAAACTCATATGTTGCAATGTCAACTTCCAAAGATGATAGTACTAGAAGGTAGGGCCTTTGGGAGGTGCTTAAGTCATGAGGTGGAGCCCTCATAAATGGCATTAAGACTCTTGTAAAAGACACACCACGGAGTCCCCAGCTCCCTTCCACCATGTTCCGACGCAACAAGAGGCCCTGGCTGCAAGAAGGAAGAGGGCCTCCACCAGAACGCGACCGAGCAGGTGCCTCCAGAGCCGTAAGGTATCAGTTTCTGTTGTTTACAAGCCACCCAGTCTGCGGGGCTTTGTTACAGCAGCTTGAACAGATCAAGGTGACCCTACACCTCTTACTTGGATTATTCATACAGCCCCTTATCTCCTTCAGCCTCTTCCCTGAGTTCTCAGATTTGAGCATGCGCTCCTGACAAGCTAATCTTCCTAAAAATATATTTTCAAGGTTTCTTTATCTTTTCACAACTTCTGTAGCTCAGTGAGGTTGACCCACGTGGAAGACTGTTCACAAAAACGGCCCCTCCCTGCGGCGCACACTCTGACCAGTGATTTTTCAGCTCCTCGCATTAGGAGGAAGAGGGTAATCCCCCACCATCTTAGCCTGGCACTGTGATCTGTGTTGACCAACAGAATGTGGCAGAATGACAGTGCGCCAGGTGTAAGCTTGGGCCTCAGGAGGCCTTGGCACGCCTCTGCTCTTCTCCCCTGTGAACCTGATGGGTGGCCCCAGCCAGCCAGCCCGCGTATGAGACCGGCTGTAGCCCCCAGCCAATGGCCAGCCCGCCTAAGCTGTGAGTTTCTCTGGATTAGTCAGTCCTTAGCTGCCCTCTTAGCTGACCACAGCACAACTGACAAAAAGCTCAGCTGAGGTCTACTCAACCTGGTCCCGATCAATAGAACAGCAGACAACAGCAAATCGCTTTAGGTTGTGAGGTGATTTGTTACATAAGGAACAACTAACGAGTGTAGCCCCCACACATCCATGCTTATTCCCACCTCTTTGATTACATCCTCCAATCATCCTTCCTAGAATGTCTCCTTCTCTCTCCTCCATCTTCAGCTGTCCAAACACTTCTAAGACCCAAGTCAAGTGCTATCTTGCAAAGTCTTCTCTACTTCAACCTATACGCGTATCTCTCTTTAGTAAAAAAAAATTTTCATTTTTCTCTGTAATATTTCATGTATCCCATATTTGATCATACAAACCCTGAGTTAACCTCAGTCCCTGACACAGAGCTAGCTCACCTTGAATGCTTAATAAAATTTACTACCTGAAAGCAAACCAATTTGATAGTCTTTTCACCCATCCAACCTGTGACCTGATTTAGGCATCAGTACAACTCCCTCAACTGACCATGTCTTGGAACCGATTAACAGGTGCAAAACTTTTGCTGTTGAAGCTCTTTATAAAGAGAATTGATGACTATATAACTACAGTTTACTTAAGCCATCAATTTCCTTCAAATAAAAGAATTGTGTTAGTAGATTTTTCATATATATGTATATAAAAGCTTAAGGGGATTTCTCCTTTGTTAGAGCTATCAGTTTCTGTTTCTGCTTATTAAGGATGTACTTCATATTCATTTTACTTGACACTACAGGAAACTGTGCATTCTCGGGCTACATAATTCTGAGCTTACTTCTGAATTGCTTTGACTATCATTTCAAACTGTCACAAAGTCATTTGACTTTTAACATGCATCAGGTAAAACAAGAAATATGCACATACATACTAACATAAATTTCATAATAAATTCCTATATTCAGTATTATCCATGACCAACTCATGTTCTAACATCACTTTTTTCAGAATATATGATACTTACACAAGATATTGCAAAAGTTATAGCATTGGCGTTTCAGTCCAATAGACAATTATAGCATATTTACCACTTTGGATTCATTTGCCCCCTCAATACAATTCCAACAGTTAGATGAATAATTTAGCTACTTAAAAACTAACTTCTTTCAGAGTAGTTTTTCTTTTACTGACTTTTTCTTAGAAATCAAGAAATGTATGCTCATTACTAAAAATCTTGTCCCAGTTCTTATGCTAAGATTAGTGTCAAATAATAATATTACTGGATATTACTATTACATATAAGACCCTCAAGAAGTCAATTTAAGCCTAACAGTTTGACACATATAGAAGCAGTCTTCTGTTAGAAGTGATACTAGTTTAGAAGGAGTAAGAGTAGTTCTTCCTAATTTGAGGCAACAATTTACTGAGTATTTGTTAAGTGTCAGATATGTGGAATGAACTTGAGCTTTATAATCGGATATAATTATCACAATAATCCTATAAATAGGCATTTATACTAGCCTCATTTTTTGCCAATAAGGGAAGTGAGGTTCTGAAAAGTTAAGTAACTTACCCATAATCGCACAGATAATGAATCATATTTTAAATATTACATTCTTCCCAGGTTGCTCTTGTTTTCAAGAAGCCCAGAACTATCTTTAAGGTTCTTCTTGAGATTGCTGTGATGGCAAGTCTCCCCCCTGTTTTCTCACTGTATCTCCTTTATCCAGGTGACTTGCCCTCAGTGAGACTAGCCCAGGGGAGTGGATTACTGCTCATGTCATTTCTTCACATAATTAACTGTAATTTTTTGTCTTGTCTGCTAAGCTCATCACTGTAAATTTAATTCAGTTTAAAACTTGAGTATTAAATCTTGAAAAACACTTATGTTTTAAAAAGAGATATTCAAAGAGGAATTGTTTAATCCAAAGGAAGCAATTGCTGGTGATAAAACTTCAGGCAGCTGTGAAGATGTAGGAATAGATCAGTGGTTCTCAGTCTTGGCAGCACTTTAGATCACTTGCAGAGATTTAAAAAAGAAAAATCTTTATCCAGAATTCCCCAGAGGTCTGATTCAATTGCTTTGTATGGTAGATACTAGGTACCAGTCCGCTTTATAAAAGCTTCAAAGGTAATGATAATGGTGAACTAGGGTAGAAAAACAATAGTTTAGATAAGAGATCACAGAATACCTACGTATCTAAAATATTGGATTTGGCGTTCATTTTTCTCAAATGGTGTGTCAGTCTGTGGCAGTGAGCTTGCTCTCTCAATGAACACAAATCTCTTGCCAACACGTGGGTGGTGGTTTAGCTGTTAGTTGTGTCCGACCCTTGCGACCTGCCAGGCTCCTCTGTCCATGGGATTCTCCAGGCAAGAATACTGGAGTGGGTTGCCACTTCCTTCTCCACTTCAAGATTTTTAAACAAACTTTTTCTATGAAAGTTCTAGGGAAAAAAAAAAAAAATGGGGAGAAATGTTATAATGCTGATGTGTAAAACTCCTGAGTTAGATGTAAATCCCAGAAGCCAAGACAACAAGAAAAGATAAATCAGGTTACAATATGAGCAATTATTTTTTCATAGGCAAAATAACCATAAATAAAGTCAAAAGAAAAACCTCAAACTGAGAAAAGCTTACTTGCCACATGTTGACAAATGAATAATCTCTCAAAGTACTAAGAGTTTAAGAGCTGAGAGGGCTGAGAGCAGCAACACCCAAGAGCAATGAGCACACTTGGAAACCAAATCTTGTTTTCTAAATGAGATCCTTCATTAAAAGGAACTGGCTTGTAATCTTCGTAAGTCTGAGGATCAGGAAAGTCAAGGAAAGACTGAGAAAAGTTTCTAAACAAAAGGAAACCACAGATACATTACAACTAAATGCCACACTTCATACCAGATCCTTTTTCTATAAAGGATGTCATTGGGACAGTTGGCAAAACTTGAACAGAATCTGAGGACTAGATGGTAATAAAATATCAATTTTGATCACATGACTGGGGTACTTTTTGTTATACAGGAACATGATCCCTAAAGTAGTTGGGGGATTATGGGATTCACATCTTAATCTCAATGGTTCAAAAAAAAATCTTTGTTCTATACTCACAATTTTTCTGTAAGTTCAAAAAAAAAATTTTTTTCAATGCAGTGCACTGGAATTTATTAGAAAGTTCAGTGAGGTGGAGATGTGAATCTACATACTTTCCCCCAAGGAAAGCAAGAACAATAACAGCTCTCTAGGTACTAGATATGGCTAAACTATACAGAATTTGTAAATATCAAAAAATGCTACCTTGAGGCTCCCTCGGTGACCTGACCTTGCCCTCTAACATTTAGGATTGCTGGGAGTAGAGGGACTTCTCATAAAGGAAATTACTTTTATTTCCTTCTCAAAATTCAGTGGAAGAAGGAAAAAGTCTAGAGAAATATATATAAATAAATAAACTTCCGCAGCAAGTTTGAACATTTATGCATTTGCAGTTTAAAAACCCATTTTTTAAGTACAGACATTTATGAAGTTCCAACAAATATTTCACAAGTACACTTTTTCTCAGAAGTACACTCAGTTTTTGTAGAATGCTGCCTCTTATCAGAGATAAGAAAAACATACTGTTCATTGAATTAGACCTTAAAGAGACCTCTGGAGCTTATCTGACCCAAATACCTCCTGCTGGGTTATAACCACCATACCACCACCCGCATCCCTTTGCTCTGCCCTGGTAAGAAGAGAGATAGAAGTCAGCCTCTGATCCTGCGAGCTCGGCGGTCTGCCGCAGACAGCCCATCCCTGTGCGGCCACGCTTGGTTCCCTGCGGATCCTCCAGCCAACGTGGATGTTGATGTTCCTGGTTCACAAGCTCCACGGGCAGCAATGCTTCCCTCCCAGCTGGTGGTGTTAATCCTCTTGAACCATGTGGCCTGCAGTCCAAGCTAAACGCAAAAGGGCAGAGACTGCCTTTCATTAGACTCCAAGGATATCTATGGGACACACAATGGTCATATTTCACCCCTTCCCACCGTGTAATCATCTTTCACACAAGATTGCTTCTTCGAGTCACCTGTCCAGCGTCTCTTCCCGGACCTCACATGCCCTACAAAGGGCACATGCACTCAGTGCCCTGCCCCCCCTTCCTTACCCATCCCCTGCTGTAAGATGGACCCATCAAGTGGACGGACTGAATTACCCCTTCATTTTTGGCTGTCACCTAATAGGAGAAGAGGGCCCAATGTGGAGAACACCACAGGAGAAGGAAACCAAAGCCAGAGATAATGCTAAAGATAGTGGAATGACTGGGGAAATCTGTCCCTGGAAAATTGGGATTCAAATGTTTTGTACCTGAAATAAACCACAAGAAATCAATGAATCTTCATAAAACCAGAGTGGGAAAAGATTTTAGAGTCACTTTTTCTGGCTGGACCCTGTTCACCATGAATATTTACAGTTCTTGAACAATAATCCACATTCTTCTTTTACAAAAGTTTTTTTTCTTTCCTCCTTAGATACAGAAGAAGCAAGTCTGTGTAGTGTGGCCTGGTCCCTATAATTTGTTAAGGATGTAGAGTCTGTATTTCCTAAGCGTCTCAACCTCATTATGAATGAGGAGCTATTATTTTCCGCATTTCTCAGCTGAGAAAAATGATCCCTAGAAAGGTTCAGTGGTGTGTCCAGGGTCACACGGCATGAGTGGCAAGACCAGGCTGTGAGGCCAGAATAACATGATTCTGACAGGCTATTTTAGTCATCTCATTTTTGGAAAAGTAATTTACTATATGATAGACACAGAAGAATATCTGTGACATATGCATAATATTCCAGTTATTTATTGCAAACCACTAGGCTGAAAACAGCCGTTTAGGCCACTAGGCCGCCGGAACCCCGCAGTTTGCTCAGCGCCCTGCGCCCCTCACCGCCCTCCCTGGAGCAGCTTCCAAGGCTGACAGCCCGAGCCGACCGGCGGCGGCAGCGGCTTTCGCTTTCCCGGCCAGCGTCCTCTGCCCGGGGGTCAGGTGGCCGCCCTGCGAGGTGTGCTACGCGACCCGGTCCACGGATGAAGGTGCCCCTGACCCTGTGCGGGGCCCCGCAGGGCGGGTGACCCCGCGGATGGACGCTCACAAGCTGCGACCCCAGAAGAGACCGCAGTGTCTGGTCCTCTCACCGACCCGGGGGGCAAGCAGGTGCGGGATAGACCCTTCCTTTCGCCCCGAGCAGGTCCAGCCTCACCCTTCATCAGAGAGTATTCCTCCCTGTCTGGGAAAGAAAAGCAGCCTCCAGGAAAATCCATCTCTTCCACCAGCTTCAGAACCCGCTCGGGGACTGATGCACCCCGCCCACCCCCGCCCCGACACCCCACTTAAGGTGCTCAGGTGAGGGCGGTTCTGAGGTTCTGTCCCTCTCCCCAGCCCTCAGGAGGGGCGTTGCCTTAAATTCTGTTATGAAAACACAGCCATCTCCGAATTTATCTTGCTTGGAAATCCGGCCTTAAAAGTACCCTTTCGGTTCAGTTCAGTCGCTCAGTCTTTGCGACCCCGTGGGCTGCAGCAAGCCAGCCCTCCCCTGTCCATCACCACCTCCCGGAGTCCACCCAAACTCATGTCCATTGAGTCTTAATGGGAGCCCCGTGTGGTCAGTAGGTCCCCAACTAGGAGGTCTCACAGAGCCTTTCTTGTTGCTCCCATTGTGTATGTGTTTGTGTGATTTTTAATAACATGTTGACTTAATAACAACAAAAACAAAAAAAAAAAACAACAGCAGTTTATTACTACTGCCCACAGTTCTGCTCATTGATGAAACTCAGTAGGATAGTTCCCACCTGGGTTTCCACAGGTAGTTGCAGTCAGGTGGTGGCTGGGTTGATGTCAAATCTGCAAACTCTCATGTGCTAGACACACATGATGACTCACTTATACATCTGGGGCCTCAGCTGGGATAGCTGTTCAGGCATCACCCTGTCTCTGTGCAGCCTCCCCGGGGCTGCACACAATATCCTGTTCTGGGGTAGTTGAACTTCCTACATGGTGGCTTGCTTTCCCAGTGTGTGTGTTCCAAGAGGCCAAGAAGGCAGATACAGAGCTTCTTATGACTTAGGCTTATAAGTCACATAGTGCTACTTCTGCCAGTTTCACTGTGGGAGGGGATTACACAAGAGCATGAATATTGGGAAGTGTGGCACATTGAAAGTCCATCTTTGTAGACTGGTTACCAAATATAAATTAAGATGCATAATCAAAACACCAATAGCCATCAAGCCACCCTTCAAATAAAGAAGTAAAACATTACTAACACCACTGAAGATATTGTGCGTTTCCTCTTGACCCTTCCCTCTACAAGTTGTAAATACTATCCTGAATTGTGTGTTTTTATTCTCTTGCTTTGTTTAAAAAATAAAATAAAATAAAAATTTTAAAAAAAGCAAAACATGAAACAGTATCTGTATGTGTACAAGTCGTTTAATTGTGCTCATTTTAAAACTACTGGAATGGTATCAAACAATGTGTAGTCTTCAGTTACTTGCTTTTTTTACACTCAAAACTCTATGTGTAAGTTCCACCTATTCTGCTATATGTAAGCAACAATTAGAACTGGACATGGAACAACAGACTGGTTCGAAATAAGAAAAGGAGTACATCAAGGCTGTATATTGTCACCCTGATTTTTTAACTTATATGCAGAGTACATCATGAGAAACACTGGGCTGGATGAAGCACAAGCTGGAATCAAGATTGCTGGGAGAAATATCAATAACCTCAGATATGCAGATGACACCATCCTTATGGCAGAAAGTGAAGAAGAACTAAAGAGCCTCTTGATGAAAGTGAAAGAAGAGAGTGAAAAGGTTGGCTTAAAGCTCAACATTCAGAAAACTAAGATAATGGCATCTGATCCCATCTCTTAATGAAAAATAGATGGGTAAACAGTGGAAACAGTGACTGATTTTATTTTGGGGGCTCCAAAATCACTACAGATGGTGACAGCATGCATGAAATAAAAAGACGCTTACTCCTTGGAAGAAAAGTTATGACCAACCTAGACAGCATAGATGCTTTTGAACTGTGGTGTTGGAGAAGACTCTTAAGAGTCCCTTGGACTGAAGGAGATCCAACCAGTCCATCCTAAAGGAAATCAGTCCTGGGTGTTCATTGGAAGGACTGATGCTGAAGCTGAAACTCCAATACTTTGACCACTTGATGCGAAGAGCTGACTCATTTGACAAGACTCTGATGCCGGGAAAGATTGAAGGCGGGAGGAGAAGGGGACGACAGAGGATGAGATGGTTGGATGGTGTCACCGATTCAATGGACATGAATTTGGGTAAACTTTGGAAGTTAGTAATGAACAGGGAGACCTGGCGTGCTGTGGTCCATGGGGTTGCAAAGAGTCAGACACGACTGAGCGACTGAACTGAACTGAACTGAATCAACACTCATTTTTACTGTTGTAGAATATTCTGTTTTCTTGAAAGATGCCACAGTTTAACCATTCTCTTGTTAGAGGATAGCTGGGGTGTTCCTGCTTTTTGCTGCCAGACTCATCACAACTGTGAGCATTCTCGTGCTTGTCTCCCAAGGTACAAATGTTGGAAGCTTTCTCAGACACATACCCAAGAAAGGACACTGGGTCATGGATCACAGGAAAGATAATCTTTCAATCAGTCTCCCTGTCTCCAGGTTCACACTCCTTTAGTCCATTCTCTACACGCACGATAGAGTGATCTTTCTAAAATACAAATCTGGTGTCATTCCCTTACTTCAGGGCCTTTGGTAAATGCCCACTGACCATACCAGTTATTCTCAGACTTTGTGTATGTTAGATGAACCCGAGGGGCTTGTCAAAATCATTATCCTGGTACTGCCACTGCAGATGCTGACACCACCATAAAGGCAGATGTGTGTGTTTAACAAGTTCCCCATATAATTCTGTTGCATGCCAAAATTTGAAATTCACTTCATAACATGATAAAGTTCCAACCCTTATTTTACTTAAAACCACTCCACAATTTGTTTCCTATTGACAACTCCAGATTTATCTTTACCCCACCCGTCAAATACAGCAAGACCAAAGGCTTCAAGTTCCTGAAATGTCTCCTCTTGCCCCAGTGCCCATCCCATTTACTTCCTATTATTGCATCTATAGTTCTATACTCTGATTATTTTTACAGTCAGTCTCTCTTTATTATGGGGAAAGAACCTGGAAATCAAGGATTCTCTTCTATTACCAAAATATTTCCAACATTGTGCATAGTATTCAGATATTTAAGGAAAATCAAAATCATTGATTTTCCCAAGGTCACAAAACCAGTTAATGGTGCATCTGGGACAAGATACTACAGTTTTTCACTTCTAGTCCGATGGTATTTCTTTACCATGTAGTCAGTCTTAATGATCAATCATATGACATTATCATAGTGTTCCTGGTATCTAGAATAAAAGAATGGTGACCTTCATCCTCATTCTTAAGAAGGACTGCATATTCACTCCTGAAGGAGTATATTGAAAACAGTGTGAGAATCTGTGTAAATCCTCAGATTCTCCAAAACACAGTAAATTCTGATTTTCCGAAGCATAGGAAAGTTTGCTTTGGTAAGTATTTTACCTTTGAAAATGATTCTATAGGTGTTTTTAATGTTGTCTTTGGGAAATTTGTTACCTAGTTATTTTATCATTTTGTTTCAATTTGTTTTAACTTTTACCTTCACTTGCATTATACACCCTTTCCCTATTATTTATAGTTGTTTCCATTCTTTTAATAAAAACACAGAGAGACCATTGTAAACTACTGGTATTTTATAATGCATCTTTGGGAGATGCTCTTTGAAGATTCCCCATAGAATAGAATGTAAATAGAGTTGTTGCTGTTTTTTTGTTGTTGATTTGGCTTTTAGCTTTAGGATTCTCTTCAAATGCTTTCTCAGACTTCTCAGCTCTTCTTAGTGTTTCCATGTTTCTGAACTGCTCCTTTGTAGAAAAGCCATGCTATGAGCAACTACAAATATATATATAAACAACAAAAAGATTTTTCCGAAAAAAAATCAATTAAGGTGATGTTTAAATGAGGTTAATTGCACCCTGAAATAAGCCAAGATATTTTCCTTTAGTGACAGATCTTATTTTATTAATATGAATTCTTGCCCTGATAGTGAGCCACAGAAGACAATTTGAGACAAGAATAATTAATTAAAAGATACATTTCATGAAGCAGATGACATTGACAGAGTAAGAAATAAGCAAAGCAGAATTCACAGTCTGAAGATGAGGTACTAAAAAAATTCAGCCCTTTCAAGTGGTATAGGTATTTTCTTCTGATGCACAAAAATGCAGAAGGCATTCAACCCTTTAGAGGTCTGTTTTTCATCAGCTTTGATCTTAAAATTGAGACAAGTGTTTGGAGTACTGTCGCTGATAAGGAGCAAAGCGAGGGCTGGAAGCACACTCGAACAGAATGTGGTTACTCACACCCGGAACGATTAAACACTCACTGCATTTTTTCAAAGGCAAATTCCACAAGTCACACAGTTTCAGAAATCATTACAGAGAAAAAGAACACCACACAGAGTACTTTCATAAGAGCAAAAGCTGTCATGACCACAGAATACCAAAGAATAAGCTCTGCACATATTCCCAGTTTCATCTTTAGTTTTCCTTATTTGTTTCTAGACACTGTTTTCTCTGCCACTGACAGTGTTTACATTCTGTGGTTGTCACATAATGAAACAGAAGCAGAAAGCCTGATTATGGTGTTAGTAGTTTAGAAAGACACCAACATAGCTAGGTGTCATATTTTCTTTGTTTTATTTTTGTTATTTTTTAAATTTTCTCTCCTGAGACATGCTATTTTTTTAGTCTGAGGATCCTGAGGAATCCTAGGTCAGCAGAGTTTTGGTAACTGAAAGGTTACATTCACAGCTAGCTGCAGGGTTGAGATGGGCTTCCTTGGTCGCTCAGTTGGTAAAGAATCCACCTGCAATGCAGGAAACGTGTATTCAATTCCTGGGTGAGGAAGATCCCCTGGAGAAGGAAATGCAACCCACTCCAGTATTTTTGCCTGGAAAATCACATGGACAGAGGGGCCTGGTGGAGTTGCATGAGTCAGACACGACTTAGCGACTAAACCACCGTCCAATAAGATGGAAATTAGTAGTGATGTTTGCCCTCTAAAAGAGGAAGCGATATGCCAGATGCCGATCTTTCCTTGCAATTATAAAACCCTAGGGTCCAGGCCAAAGGTAGACTGATAAAGAGTGGAACTCCCTCAGCTGTGCATTTCATTCATAGCCCCTCTTCATTTCAGGTGGGGACGCAGCTGAAAAGCAGAAACTTCTCACTTAACTATTGGGCTTTAGTTTCCCGCTTTGCATTAGCAGAATGTG